CCTAAGGGCCTGGCTGTGTCGGAAAAGCATACCACGGACACGGGGGGTGACGCCGATGGTGATGTTGTATGTTGGGGCCGCCTGGTTGGGTCGTGGCTTCTCAGTGCGTACTTCGACGCTGAGGAAGGAGGCCTGGAGGCTTCCTCCACTGGCATCGGAGACGACTTGGGTGATGGCTTCCGCTGCTTGCTTAGCGGTCGCGAGAGCCGGGACGCCAAACGCGATCAGGGAGCCGGAATCGTAGTAGGCAGATTTGCCGGTCAAGTTCCTACGCTGTTTAGACCCGGTGCGGTCGGTCGCAAACGTAGGGGCCCCCGCGAGCTGAGACTGCACAGTTTCGATGATGAACTGCGCGGCCCGAACTTCGAACTGCTTCATTTCGGTCTCCACCTTTTTGGTAATTATTTCCGGAATATTCTTTTCCAGCGAGTCAACACGAGCAGCCAGCGCATCTGTCTTGCTATGCAAGGAGTCGAAGGACGCCTTGGTCTGTGTAGCATGGGTCTGAAGCAGCTTGTAAATCTCATCTAAAGATGGTTCTTTCTGAGTGGATCGCGTCATGGAGTCGCCTGCTGCCGCCTCCTCAAGGGCAGCGGCCGAAGGCGTAGGGTACTCCTTGCCGGACCTCAGAACCCGCTTAGACGGGCTTTGTGGGCTAATGCCAGCTGTTCTACAGATTCTGGATCGCTGGCAAAGCCAATGCGAGGGGCTTAGCTGTGATGTTGCCAGGGTGGTGTGGTGTGGTAGGCGTGAAGTATAGCGGTAATAGCTGCCCGTTGCATTGTGTGACACTTACAGGGCGATACCTTCTTAGCTCGTGGAGGTATGCGCAGCGTTGAGTTCAAAGTGGTGGAGACAGATCCTGCTGAGTATTGCATCGTCGCACCGGACACGGAAATCTTTTGTGAGGGCGAGCCCATTAAGCGCGAGGACGAGGAAAAGCTTGACGAGGTGAGCACGCTTGGGATGTTTCTGACAAAACCTATGGGACTGTGTTGGGTGGTACTGCGTCATTTATGTGCGGTGCCATAACCCAGACGC